TTTGATTTACAAATAAGGAATCCTACTTCGCGGAATTTCATTTATCACGGTAGGGTCTAGAACCGATTAACCGCGATAAACGAGGGTTCACTGTACCTCAATTGACTCAGTGACAATTGGTTTGGTTGATTTGGGTTTACAACCCTCATGCTTAGTGCTGCATCCCATGAATTTCAGAAATGTAGACAGTGCCAGCTCTTCTGCAGTCTTCCCTGTGCCAAATTACATCCCTGATGAAATCGAAAAAAACGGTCCACTTCCCGGCTCTATGGCTAGGGATTCTGTTGACTGAGCTCCAAGAGAGTAAATGTTCTGCTTGCTCTGGGACCCACAGGCCCTTACGAAATCATGCCTTCGGCTTTCTGACTGAACTGTTTTCAACAGCGGGTCAAAGGGGCCCTGGTGGAGCAGTAGTTAAATGCTTGGCTGCTAACCAGAGATCTGTGGTTCAAACCTACCCTCCATGAGAAATATGTGGCAGCCCACTTCCATAAAGATTCCAGCCTTGGAAACCCTGCAGGGCAGTTCTACGCTATGCTCTGGGTGGGCCACTCTAAGTTAGAATTGACACAACGCACAATCATAATAGGGCCTGCTCGGGTGTAGTGAAGAAACTGAACTGTGCTTGGGAACATGGAACTATAGATAATCCCGTTCTCTCTACCTCCCTTTTTATTCTATGCTATCAATTCACCCAGGACAGTGCTGCTGAAGAGGACTTTCTTTGATGACATACACATTGTAGACTGACATTGTCCAATATGGCAGCTTCTAACCACATCTGGTTCATGAGCTTTGGGAAAGTGACTGTTGTGAACGAAACACTGGATCTTGCAGATTTAACCACTTTATCATCCCAGTGCTCAAAAACTCTTCTTTTCCTTTTGTAGAGAAACAGCCTGGATTCAGGCCTCTGGTGGCTCGATCCTGAGCTGGTGTAGGAGCGAGTTGTAAGCTGAGCTGACCACCACCGTTTCTCTTTTCCAGAAACCCAGAGGCCGGCCTGCGTTTGCTGAGCTGCTGACGGCTCTCACAGAGATTGCAGAGACGTAATGCTCTACGATGGGACGCCAACCCCAAAGGTCACTGTGCAAACAGTCACAAGAGAAATTCAACATAGAATCACCAACGGTGAATAGTTTGCTTTCCGGTGTTGGACACGGTGCAAAGAGCAAAGGCTTTTCAAACATTTGGATGTGCTTGAGAGACTTTTAAAACTCTTTTTCGGGGGTAATATTTTCCATGTCCCTCATGCGAAGAAGGGAGAAAGACTCTCAGCAGCCTTCATGTTGACTGTTTTTCACAATAACAGCCCCGAGAGTCCCTGTAGATATAAAACCAAGTCATGCTTTACAGGGTGAAGACATTTCTTACGGAAGTAGAGCAAGTCTTTACCTCAGTGGTCCATATATAGAAGATGAAAATGAATTCTATCAACTCATGGATCAAAGGATGTTCCTCTTCAGAATTTCATGTTTTTTAATTGTACAGACCTTGGCAGAAAATATGCCGCATAAATATGAACATTCTTTTATAATCTCCTGACATTCTTTGACAAATATGCTGTTTTGCACCTATCTGATTATTTTAGAGATAGGTGTTACTTTACAGTTCTAACTGCTGTTATAGGATGTAATCAAAGTTCCCTTTGAACATATCCTGGTGACATTTCTATTTCAAGTGATATCTGTTGTCAGGAGTAACTCAAAACCTAAATTTCAGTTCTGAGGTTTCACACTGTGCACATGTAAGATTAGATCATTAAAGGAGCCTTATTTTGTCATTAAAAGTTCCTCCACCACTGGCTTAGCCCCATTCTCTAGAGAAACAAAGCAAGTGAAGCTTGTATATGGATATCTAGAGATAAGTTTATCTCAGGGAAATGGCTCATGCAGTTGTAGAAGCTCAAAAACACAGAGTCCATGAGTCAGATAAACTGCTGCAGGTTTTCCTAACCTACATAGCTATAAGGATTGACAAACATATTATTAACATGTTAGACAGTGGGTACTGACTACAGAGACCAATGAATCCAAAGTTGACAGGTAAAACAGCATGCTGCGTCACAGACCTTAGAAGCTAATGACTCCCAGGATCAGTGTGCAATATGGCAGGCTGCTGGCCCAAGTCTGACCTGGAAATCAGCTGATGTTGAGTCAGAGTCAGAATTCAGATCCAGCAGAAAGCAGAATTTTGCCAGAATATTCAAATATATATTAGTAGTGGGCCACACCCCTGAGGAAACCCCCATTCAATTGGTTGGCATCTCAGAGATGTCATCATGGTGGTAATTATATAATATCAGATCTCAGCATGGGGGCTGACAGTATCATTACTGTTAAGCCACTGAGAATCATGGCCCAGACAATTTGACATACAGTCTTACCGATCACAGTCTACCCCTTGTCAACTTGGCACATGTGCACATCACCTTAAACCATATAATATCTCTAAATAAAAACAAGTTAGCTATATTTACATTGGGGGGAGAGGACGCTTAAGTAATTAAGGGGGGAAATTCCATTATCTTTTCATTCTATTTCCATGAATTTTTTTTAAGCTTCCTCTTATTTCCTAAGTGAAGAACACAAAAATATAGGTCACAGCAGTGGCTGTACTCAAGTGAGCATTAGTGAATGGACTGCTGTGTTACTGAGCCATGTAGAGACTCCATACCTACTATCATGGCCACTTTGTTCATGAGCCCAATAAACAATAACAGGAGTGGCTGAGGAAAAAGGACGATGGTTTTCTACAGAATAGGTGATCCTGTCCACTGGATTATTAAAATCCTCCTCTGCTGAAGTAACCCTTTGGTGACTACTCACACGAGACACACATATCCTCACTTCTTTGGCTCATTCTAAGAGGTCGTTCTATATACTTCTTCCTCATAACTCCTTGTAACCAATTTTCCTACATTGTTCCTTCCAAGTCCCTGACAATTGGCCAAAGCCCGTGAAATTATAATTTCATATGTGACTGTTTTTCTTTTCAAGCAAAATGAACCAACAGGTGCACTCATAGAAGTTATACCTATTAAGAGGATTTCCCTTCTTTCAAGAAGGTCCTAGAAATGGGCTGCAGTGATGCTGTCATCTAGTTTTGAATGATTCCTGCATATCCTTCCGAACCACCTATAAGCTAGGCACAAGTTTTCTCTTCCAATGTGATGGATCATAAGAAACTCTTCATGAGATCATAGGTGTGAACAGGAGAATGAAGGTAATGTGACAGGAGGAGAGATCATGTGCACTTGGGTCACTCCCTCATGCATCTTCCTTGTACCTTCATGCCCTGCTTGATCTAGTGTATACCACTTCCACATGCTTCTTTGCATGTCCCACTTTATAGCTCTTTGGATAAGACAACACTGAGTTCATGGTGGACAGCTTTGGCTGCATGGTTGTCCATGGTTGGACACTGAATTTTTTTAAGTGGCTCTTCTTGCCTGAGTCTTTAAGACTCCCACTAAGCAACCTTTTCCTGCATGGATCTGATAGCGGCAGAAGATACTTAAAAGATTCACCTGTGAATAATTGTGAACAGGATTCCCTGAAATGCCATCCTGCTGTGTATAAGATGAGCCCTCTTAGAAGCAAGAGAGGGGATCTCATTACCCGCAAGAGCCATGAGTAAAGAGTGTTCTCTGGACCCGAGATTCCCTGCACAGTGAACTTCTTGGATCCAGAGGACAACTATACCATCAGAGGAACAGCAGCAGAGTCTGAAGGCAGACATGGAACAGCGTTGTAGACTTCCAAGCCCATAGAGCTAGTAAAGCTGAGTGTTTCTGCACAGGATGCTGGCTTGTCGACTGGGGTGCCTCTGGACACTTAATTGGGGGAGCTGGATTTGTGGACCAATGGAAGTGGAGCTGAGTGCCTTGGGGCTGAGGTTTACTGGAGTAGGGTGCCTCTGGGCACTTAATTCTGGGGGTGGTGGTGGTGGTGTAGATTTGCTGACCCATAGAGCTTGAACTGAATGCCTTTGAGTTGAGGCTTACTGCTGATGGAATTCTCTTTGGTCATCCACTGGCAGCCCTGGAAGAACTTTGTAACCTGTCCCGATGAATGACTCTATCCTCCATTTCTCATGTGCACTACAACCTACTAACTTCCTTAATAAACCTTCTAATCATGAATTTTGTCTGTGAGCTCTGTGTAGCCATTGCACTTAGCCATGGGTGTTAGAACCTACAGGTCAAATAGAGTATACCAGTGAACATAATAAACCTACCAAAAATCTTTTTCTCAAGAACAGAGTTGTTATTTTCAAAGGATGGCAGGGTTTTGCCTCCAAATCCTAAGGGTCTATGCTGTGATTCACCAGTAAGAACTAGTCAAAGATTCCAATCTGCATTTCTATCTGCCACTGACTCATTAAGCACCATTGGGTTAGCAGATTGTATGGCCCCAAGTGGCCAAGAGGCTTGCAAGGCAATCTGAACACGTTGCAGACCCTCTCTTGTTATAGGCTTGTGTTAGTCCAGGTAGACTAGAGAAACAAACTCATAGACACTCATATGTGTATAGGAAAGAGCTTTATATACAAGTGCAATTAATATTGAGAAAACATCCCAGCCCAGTCCAGATCAAGTCCATAAGTCCAATATTAGCCCACATGTCTGGTACTAATCTATAAAGTCCTCTTCAGACTCATGAAACACATACAATGATGCCAAATACAGGCCAGTGGTGAAAAGTCTTGTGGATCCAGCAGCATTGTAAGCATCTCAGCACTGGCAGGAGTCTCCTCGTGGTTCCTCCAGCTCAGGGCACTAGGTTGGTTCCATGTGTCTTGTCAGCTACAATGTCTCCCAGGGAGTGAGCCAAGAGAGAGAATGTCTCCTGCCTCCAATGAGGGAATACAGGAGTTCCCAGAATCCTCAGGGGAAAGTCATGCCTACACAGAAGCCTCATTAGCTATGACCTGATTGACAGCCTAGACTCCACCCCTTTACTCTTAATCCTCTCAACTTGACAAACAATTATATAACTACCACTGGGCCCCACTGCAAACTAGCACCTTTCGCAGTCATTTGTTGTATAAACTGGAGTAGCATACCCAAATGAGGACTTGTCAAATTAAAAGTCCAAAGAGGGCCCTCAGGGATTGTGGCTCCTTTGTTAGTTGTGGAAAGGCCCAGATGCTAATAACGATTCTTCACCTTAGTAGAGGAACCTTGGTGGCATAGCGGTTATGTACTGGGCTGCTAACTGTAGGGTCAGCAGTTTAAAATCACCAGGCACTCCACGGGAGAAAGGCGATGCTTTCTACTCCCCAAAGAATTATTCTTGCAAACCCACAGAGGCAGTTCTACCCTCCCCTATGGGATCACTCTAATTTGGCATTAACTCAATGGCAGTGAGTCACATTAGTAAGAATATCTTCATGTGCCCACATCATTGACCTGCTATACATTTCACTGATTAGAAGGCACCCGAATTTTTGCCAGGTTAATTTCCTACCTTTTAACATATAAATGTCTTATCAATAAGTCTAGAACAGCAATTCTCAACCTGTGGGTGGCGAACCCTTTGGGGGTGGAACGACCTTTTCACAGGGTTCACCTAAGACCACTGGAAAACACATATTTCCAATGGTCTTAGGTACTGAGACACATCTCCTCTTATCAGTCTCCAGGTGGGTCCTGCAGATACACTCACATATGAGTGGCGTGATGACATCATCGCACCAACCCCATCACATAGACCCGTACAAATACAGGTGTTTGTGACAGGGTTGGTGCCATAATGCACTTACACAGACCAGTCACACATGTGTAGAGAGCAGCTACTGTGTAGAAAGCAGCTGCTGTGTTGAAAGCAGGAGTACTGGAAGTAAAACACTTCATGAATTCTAATTACTGGGTAAATGTAAAAGCATGTACTATAAAATCATCAACTACTGCAAAAAAAAAATCTGTACCATGGGAACTTTATCTGGATGCTGATTGGTCTTTTCGTATTCTGCTGTGGTTGATGTGAATACTGCCCCCTTGTGATAGTAGCATGTATGTAAAAACACAAACAATGGTAAATCATAGGAAA